TATTTGTCAATATTTACAGTGTTGCTGCCCATAGTGATAGCCCTATAGTTTAAATCTACTACCCCAGAATAAACATATGGACAGGGGCAGAGTTGGGTGTAACGCGTTACAAAGTAATAATATTACTTTTGTCGGTAACGGAGTAGTGTAACGCGTTACTTTTATAATTCAGTAATCACACTACAGTTACTAACATTGCCCCGACACGCGTTACTTCGTTACACTGACAGACAAGAGGGGTTTCCGCCGCAGGTTTACGTAATCTGCGCGACTTGCGCATCCACATCTCTGCGTGCAGTGCTGCATAAACATGGCTGAGTCGGCGATAACTTTCGAGGGGTGGAGGTATGCCCATTATTTTGAGTTTGTCCGAAGAATAGACAGGAATGTGACTGTGAGGTGCAAACTGTGTCCAGGCCAGAAGCTGTTATCCACGGCTGTAAACACCACGTCAAACCTCAACAAACATCTGCAAAGAAAAAATGCTAAGGTGAAGCTAATAGCTAAGGACCCCCGAACCCAGAGTGAGGATGTTGTGAGTGCGCCGCCACCGACTCTGAAGCAGCAAAAATTAGAATTTGGAAGACCGGTAACCAAAGCAGAGATGGACAGGCTTGTAGCATCCTTCATAGTAGAGGACATTTTGCCCATTTGCACAGTGGAATCACCATCGTTCAGAGATATACTGCGCAAAATACAGATAGCTGGAGACAGAGGACAGCCATGGTCAAGATAGAAAACATTCAGCGAGCTATCTGTGATTCAGCTTATGCGACAATGGGAGAACTGAAACTAAAGAGACATTTTGAAACTTTAGCAGTCTGGCGTGATCTGCTGTAGGGAGGGCGGCCGGCCCTGCGAGTAAAGTTACGGGTAAAGTAACGATAGTTTATGTGAGAGTGTAACGAAGTAGTGTAATATATTCTATCTTTTTTTTAGTAAAGACCCCATCTCTGGAAGGGGTTACTATTTTAAAAAAAACACACAAACCTAAAAGCCCTCAAATAGGGGTAGTTATACTCTTAGCTGCATAGACGCTTATTGTATATTTATATCATCAGACTGTAAGAGGTTAAAAACATAACTCCAAGATTTGTAAGTACAAACTGAATTAAAAAGTATAAATAATAAAGATATACTTTAAAACATATTCTATATAAGAGAATCATGTAGCCATATATCAGTTGTTTAGTCGTATAATTTCAAACAGGGAGAACGTGATGATAATATGAAGATCACATTATATATGAAACATAATGATGACAGTTTATAACAAGTGAATGAAATGGTGTTTGGCATTAGGCCAGGTTTTGTAGGATTGTCATCGTGAAGGGAAGAACCGTTTCCGATGAACCCCCCTTGGTCCTAGAAATGGTGGTGGTGATAAGTGGTTAGGTCCGTTGAAGGGAGAAGGTTGACTTGGGCCCTGAGTTGGAAGCAGGAGGCCGAAAGGGGTGGAGGAGGGTTGCGCGTTGACACCTGGAAGACAGCTGATGGAAAGGGGGAGAGCAATATATTCAAGAGGGATTACACAGGTGCATGATTAGGCGCCTTGTGAATGGAGGGAAAGTGAGTAGGTTCAGCTGGAGTGGCGCTCCCTATCATATTAGTGAAGGGAGCGAGTATGCCATTGACGCGCAGTAAACGAAGTCATAGGTCTTCCTGCCTGAACTTGCGCTGAGCTTCATTTGCAACTCACGGAGAGACGTGATGTAATGGAAATACAGTTTATTATCGGGTCACATATAAGTACCCAATGAAATATAATGATGAACAGTTTAGTAACAGTGAATGAAATGGTGTTTGGCGATTAGGCCCAGGTTTTGTGAGGATGTATTCGGGAAGGGAAGAACCCCCGTCTTCCGTTGAACCCCAAAAGAAGTGCGAAAGTATGAGTACTGAACGTGACTGAAATCTTACCTTGTGGGATGCATGGAAATCTATGGATGAAATGACGAGGTTAATACATGTGGGATTTACAGACATACTGATGCCTCCTAGGCATCCTCCCTGGACGTACAGGGCTTCCTGAACGTACAGGCCATCCTGGACATACAGGACGTACGGGGCGTCCCGGACGCTACGGGGCATCCCTGGACGTACAGGGGCGTCCTGGACATTACAGGGCGTTGCCCGGACATACGGGGCATCCCGGAACGAACGGGGCATCCCTCAGGACGTACAGGGCATCCCGGGGGTGGCCGGACGTACGGGGCAACCTGAACTTCGCAGGGACACATTTTTAATACAGACCGAAGGTTACAACCTGGACGTACAGGGTTGACAATGCAAGGAATAAACATGAGCCCCGCGGGGCGAGATATACGTGCTCCGACATGCTAGAACCACCACCAGTTATATGCAGTACGTACCAAATTTTAAGGGTTGGAGAGATCTTGGATAGCCAGCACGGCCACTGAGTTCGGACGAATGTAGGATGAGAAGCAGGTTGTTGTAGGGAAGGAGGAATAATTACCTTGATTGCGGCAGGTTGCGCTGCACCTATCCTGAACGAGGCCCTGAAAATGCTCTTAAGACACCCACCGACCAAGTATATGCTGTTTACCATAGGACCGGAGAGATCTTGGATAGCTGGCACGAGCCGAGCCCGGCGAAGAGCGAGACTGTAGACAAATGTAAATGCGGCTGTAGCTTGAGTACAAATGATGTCATGAAATATCAAACGCTGTTAACCATAGAATTAGTGACAACCAAAATATATGAGTGCAATTATGAGCAACATGAAATAAATATTTGCTAGGTAAAAATACTGAACATGACCCATGATATAGGCACCGAGGCCTCTTCCACAACGCTAACTTTTAAAAGTGGTGTTGGCCAGGCTGGAAACCAGGCATACCGCTTTCTTGCGTTGCCAAACTGAACAAATACGGTTGCCCTTTTTTAGATAAACGGGATGAGGGTTTTCACAAATCAATTCAAGATGCTATACAGTTCATACATCATTAATAATGGCAAAAGTTTGCCAAAAGACATGTCTCACAATCGCTTTCACACTAGCAGTAATTTAGACCGCACGTTCACTTCTCGAACCTACAGTGGTAGTAAGACTGGTGTCCACACCTCCATCATGCGCTGGTCGTATCCGTCGGGCCCGGGAAATGCAGTAGTCTCGCTGCCTCTCGCTCCCTGTTCTTCATGAGATCCCGTCCAATGAATCTATGACACGCCTCGCTAGTCTTCTGATCATCCGTTGTCTTCCCTTTCAAGACGTGGCTTTTCCTTGACCTTCTGTGCTCGACCCCACCATAACCGTCCATTGGACCCTCTCAGGCATTGAAGTCTCTTGATTGGCCAGTACTAGATACATTGTCTAATGCGTTAAGGAACATGGAAAACCTCATAGCTTTACCAACCATTTGATACTAATTCCTCTCGATGCCGTATAAATTACCTTAAATCTATATTAAATATTATTTAAAATGTGTTTACCTTTTTATAGAATTGATTATAATTGATGCAACCATTTTTCTATGTAAAGTTCCCGTTTTGCACTTTTATTGTTCGGCTACAGGTAATAAGACTCGGACTCTTATTTTGAACGAACTTTCTACCGCACACACGAATGAAACATGTCTCTCCCTCGCTTTCGTTCGTGGTTACCTTACGCTTCAATCAGTGAATCACTTTGAACATTCGTTCTGACGAAGTTGAGGTGTCTTGCGCTGAACCTCTTTTACCGAACACAGTCAAAACAACTTATTTGCTTTGCCATTGTGTAAACAAACACACGCGACCGCGCACGCGCAGTAAACGTGCATCGCTTTCTGGCTCCGTAATCACGCCGATGGCAGTGCAATTTAAGATATCAAGTCCGACTGGTCACGACAATTAAATATCACTCTTAAAAAATATGAACATTTATCTATTTTGGGGTGCACGTTTTGCTGTCCTTATTTCTTATGTTAAAACTGGTTGCCACTGATGGCAACCAAAGTCCAAGAAGTGGTTGACATTTGTCTGATGTTTGCCCATGCAACCTGCAACCGTTACTGTCGAGCCCTGATATATGGACTAGCTTAATCAGCAGTTTAATTACCCACGGTGAGACGGTAATGCTGATGTGCTGGTTGGGTGATTTAGACTGTCCCTTCCTATCATCTTACATTGAACATCTTCTTTCTCCCTTGAAAGACCCCCCCAAAAAAAACACGGATGGCAGCAATCCCGTGGCGTGGTTGAAGCTTTGAAACTGGCGTACTTACTGAGCATTGTACGGTATATTTACCCCGCCGCATAACGCATGCTGTAACGCGTAACCCGGCGAACTGCTGAATACCACCTTTAACCCTGAACCTAAAGGCAACCTGCCATAAACCAACTTCTCATCTTTTTCTCTCATCCTTATTCTTCTTCTCTTTCCTCTCATTTTCTCTTTCTTACCGTTCTTTCTTTTTTCCTCCTTTTTCTTCGTTCTCATCTCTTTTATGAGGCTTTATCTCTTCCTTGTTCTCTATCTTTGCTCTCTTCTTCACCTCATTTTCCTTTTCATTCCTCTCTTTTTCCTCTTCTCCTTTTCCTTGCCTTTTCAGCGGTGAAGGCGCGGGAGGAGGCGAAGCCTCAGCCTGTGCCACTGAACCTGCTAGCCGTCTATCGACGCACTTAGTGTGCCAGTACTGGCGTACGTGAGTCCGGGAGGATAAGTAGCTTTCGATGGATGTAGCTTAAGCCCTTTTGCCTGCCTGCAGAAGGGTTGGTAGATTGAAGCCAGCACATCGGATGAAAGGTCTCGCGACCGATCGGGCCCGTTCCGCCGCGATGAAGGCCGGAAGCGCCGGCCCATTAGAGCCTCCATGCAGCTCGACTGCTCTCTCTCGACTTGAAGGGCGTGCGTCAATTTCTTGCCTGAAAGTAGCCCTTTCCATTAAGCCGGAGAACTGTCTGTGGAGCCCCGATGTCCTTGTCTTTTCCTTCCGCGTCCAGGGTTTGCGGGTGGCCGCTAGAACCGCTCAGCCAAGCTGGGGAACGTCGCCTGCTAGCTACTCCGAACGACTGGCGCGACACCTCACACTACGTCGCGAGCTGGGCACGAACAGCCAGTCTGGGCCGCTGTCCGCCCCGTTTGACACCCTGTGGAAGACAGCGTGATGGACAGGGGGACGAGCATATAGCCGCAGAACCGCATGCGACGCGTTCGTAAAAACCCGAGTAACGTTAGCACTTAGCACTCTCACACATCAATATACCTCCACAAAAGCACATGCCACTTTCCTTGTCCATAGGGGGTTTTGGAAACGAAAATACGGTCGTGGTCGGACAGGGGGCCACCGCCAAACTTTAAGAAGGTAAGAGACGTTTTTGTTCTAACCGACTTAACATACATCAGCTGACCCCACCTGGGGATTTTGCGGCAGCTTTACCGTGTCGACAAAAAACGATGGTCTCGATTACCCCGAATGGCTGAATAGGACGGACAGCCGATAATTGGTCGAGGCCGGCGTGCGTACCCCGTCATTACGCGAACACGGTATACACACTCCGCCCGCTAAGGTTTTGTTTCTCCCCTGTGTGTCTGCCTTGAACGCAAGTACGCTGGCCTATCTTTAGTATCTGTATATCTATATCTGACCATTAGATATCTGTATTTTGAAATTGTCGTTTTAACACCGTAGTTTTACAAATTATAGAATAATTAATTACCAGTGTTTCCAATTTTACTCGCGTTCCGTTTCGTTGGCTAACGTTACCTAAAGCTAGCGCTACACTAGTTAAGCTACGCAATGGTTGTTGCTCTTGCTCCGTGGTTGCAGCCACAGGGTCTTCGCCATGAAACGGCTTGTTCTACTATCGTTTCCCGGCCATGTTTTCCAAAGGAGAGTCTGGTTCGTGCCTATGAAGGTAAGCTGACGTTACATTTTTGTCCATGTCACGGTGAAATGTAAATAGGGAATGGTAGTGACTGTATCGCCGTTATATAGAGATGGCGGATGCTGAAAAGACCGCACATAAAGTAAAGATAATGAATACATCTCTATTACAAACCTGTGTGGGCTTATATGATAAGTCTTATTAGTACAACGCAGCATAAACGTTCACCATGTAACTAAAGATTGTAGTCAGGGAAATCAGTTTTTGACAATATCTGGACTAATAACAAATCACCTCTGGCTGGCAGAGAACTCTCTGCTCCATAAGCTTCTCTTGGCGTAAAATCAATGTACATTTTACATTTATATTCATTAATATTCCATCCCTCACGAATATTTGTATATATAATAACTATAATTTGTTTTTCTGTATGCTTGCTGCAACACAAAATTTCCAAATTGGGATCAATACAGTAATATCTTATCTTAATTAATTAATAAATATAACTATTATAATTAGTTTAGCAGCTGACACCTAAATTTTCAATATGCGATTAATCTACCATTTATTTCTTTAGTTCAATTTCGTCTATAAAAAATGTAAAAATAGTGAAAATGGTTTCACGAGCTTATTCAAATTGCAAGGTTACTATCTTTAGTGTTTTGGTTTTAGCCTATGTACTCGTACTGTCTTAATGCTCTTACAGCTTCTGTGCACGCGTGTACTTCCATGAAACTATATGTGTATATCTTTCCCCACACAGACGAGCCTGAACAGGAAAACCTAAAACTCTAACAACCACACACACTTGCAAAGGCGAGTAAATGTAATTAAAAACAATTCACCATTTTTNTTCATAAACTCAACAAGTACTATACTTGGGCACAATTTTGAGATACCGTAATTTTCGGACTATAAGCCGCGCCTTTTTTCCGATTTTTCGCCGCTGCGGCTTATGCCGCAGCGGCGAAAAATCGGAAAAAAGGCGCGGCTTATAGTCCGAAAATTACGGTATCTCAAAATTGTGCCCAAGTATAGTACTTGTTGAGTTTATGAACTTAGTTACTTTACACCATGTGGCTATAAAGATAGAAAGACTTAAGCCTTGCACAGAGGCATGAAAATACATTTTCAAAATGTTCAATACTGCTGCCAAAATGATAAACTGACTGCTACACAATTTAAAATAAATGCTTTTATATATTTCTATTAGATGTGATTCTTTGGCGTTTCTGTTATTATTAACACTGCTGCTTTAGTTGTTCTGCTAAAATCCTCTGTTATTCCGTGGGGTGGGGGACCCGGGGGCTCGGATCCTTGTCACCTTTTTCATACCTGATGAGTTTGCATCCCTGTATGTTAAAAAGCCTCAGTCACCTTAATTCATGTAATAAAAACATCTCAGATCGGTAACACTCAAAGCTAAATGTGCAATACCATGTTCAGCTATGTTACTATTTATAATGTTATTGTTGGAAGATGTACTTATTGAAATGATTGAAATGATTTCTTAACTTACAGTAGGCTATTTTTTACAATGTGTGTTGGAAGGATTTATTAAATTACAATGAATATTGTCGTTGTTGAAGGCTTTTAGAGAAGGGTGAACTATAAGCCTGAATTATATAACATTTTATACCTAAAACATAAAAGCCACAATAAATGAATCAGAATTATTCTAGTTGTTTTTACCTCCCGTATTGCTTTCAACCCACCAGCTTTTATGGTGTTGTTACGTCACTAACTGTAAGCTTGTCACATACAGTCTATGGTCACTCAGAGTAACCTCCTGTTAATTTAGCTGCTGGAGAAGAAAGATCAGGGGGGAGGGGGGGAGAGAGCTGTGGTTGATGGGCCATTAGTTGTGTAAATACACAGCTGAGAGCTGCCGTTTCATTCAGACTGTTTAAAAAACGGTAACAACGGACTATTTTTCTTAGCGGATGCATGTCAATTTAAATCAATACAACTATTTCTTAAATCAATACAATTATTTTCTAAATCCATAAAAGCATTTCAATTAATATTGGGAGTCATGTCGTTACTTTGTTGAGAATGTGGCCATGTAATAAGCGGGATAATTTGCAGCGACTTGTTCCTTATGGGGAAAATAACACCCTTCATGCAGATCAGGATCCCTCCGCTACGCTTTGGGATCCTGATCGACCGACGAAGCTCCATTAAAATATACATATTTTTGGTGAATTACTGAGTTTAGGCACGTTAATAACGTTTTAATGAAGTTGAATACAGTATATTCATATGTGTCAGTGATTTCATGTCAATTCGGCGAACATAAACATAAATGATCGTGGTGAAGATGATGATTAAATTAGGATTAAAAATCGAGAGCCGGGCTGCATTTCATCCCGTTCGTTTTTTTCGAATAATAAAATTATTTTGTTAAATAACAACATGGTGATGTTTTGTAAATGATTACATGTCTCTTATTTAGCACAGTAGTATGATATCCGTGACATATGGATCATAACAAAGTTCCGCTGTACATCCAGCGTACTGTATCTCACTTTATTTCACATGAGCTCCAGTGTGGAACCCCACTGCACCCCCTGGTGGATCAATGATCCATTGCAGCTGGCTTCATTATAATTACATTTATCTATCACGGGGGCGGTCTCAAGTCAAGCTGGAGGTTTTCCCTTGAGCGAGGGCAGATCACGTACCAATCACGGCCCTCGCGTTCCAAACTGTCTGAAATGAATCGCTACATCTGTAGCAGTCCTGTGTGCCTGGTACCCTCCATTGAGCATTGTGTATGCATTTGTTTGGGCTCCAAAGCCCCACATAATATTCTGCCTCTTGGTTTCTGTTAGAGGTTGTAAAGAACAAATGGTGATGGTTTATTTTCCTTTCCAAAGCTGACAAGGTTAACATAGTCCTTCACAATGTGCGGAGACAGAAGGCATGCTATTAGACTTGATTTATTTCCTCATTCTGACAAGGTGAACACGTCTCATCTCCTGGTACACAGGTTGTTAGCCTGATGCTCCTTTTAAACATTCAGAGGACAGCACACTTAACTCCCAGCAGACACACTGGGGTTTATAATGCAGCGGAGAGCAGCTGCTATGCTTGGTCACATACTTTTGTTTTTCTTTCTTTTACGTTCTCAGTTTACTTTTATGTCACAATATGGTCAAAGTACCTGAAAAGTCACTACACTGATTCATAAAATTGTCAACTAACAATATGGAAGGACATTAAAAACCTTTCAAATTATTTGTAAAGTGCCCTTTCTTACAGAATCTTGAAACCAAGACCTACATTCTATCAATAAAATGCTCAGGGTCTTTTGTCTGCAACTACAATAACAACTCACTGTGGCTCAGTTGATCCACGAGCGGCTGACACCCGAAGGACGGAGACCACATTATCTTTTTCTGCTCCATCTCCCGGGTGTCTGAAAAATAAACACATTGACGGTTAGAGACAGCGAGAAGGGACCTGCTAATTCTGTCTTTTTTATTTCTCTGTTTATCCTTAAACAACATTCATGCCATTGTTATCGTTCAATGGCAGCTAATTAAGGGAAATTCATATTTGAACATTAATGACAGGAAGCTGAGTCAATATGAAAAGACAAATCAATAAAAGCAATTGTATTCCCTCAATGAATTAACCTAGCTGCCCTTTTGAAAGCCTGTCACCCGACAGTCTGGAAAATAAACGCGGTACTAAAAACACTGGAACAAAAGAACACTTAGCTCTAATTAAACCAATCTCAACCACCGTTTTTCAGACTTTATTTGAATTGTTTATTTTTGCTTCAAAGAAGTTTTCCGGTCGACCGAACACATTTTAATTAGTTTCACCCTTGTTATGAACACTGATTACAGGGACACTTATTTTCTTCCCAAAGGCATAATAAACTTTTTTGGCTGACTTTAATCTTTTGAAAAATAAAACAACAAACCTTTCTGTTTCTCTGCAGGGCGCATGGATGTTTCCTGGCCCAGGTGGCTGCCGAGGGGCACCTCCTGCTCCCCGTCCCAGGGGCCAGAGGGACGAGAAACCACTGCATCGCCTCCACACATCTCCAGGCTGCCAGCTTCATCCGCATCATCTGAACAATATGCAACACACAGCAAATAATTAGTATGGGAGCAGTGTGTGATGCTTGAGGTTTTTCTGGCATTTCTTTTCCGCATTATTGTGGTGTCAAAAAGACAAATAAAAAAACTGACGGTCTGTTCTCTTGCCTAATGATCATGTTTTATCTGAAATGTGTCTAATTATTCAAAGAGGAGCAGACAGTTTGACTTTGATTTAATTTTCTAACTTTTGCTGAATTGGCAGTGTTGTTTATTACAATTAGTTCTGTGCTTAAAATTTGACTTGAAAATGTAAAGAATTGTTAACATGTTAAAAGAAATGTTTACAATATTATTAAAAAGTAAAATCCTATGGTAAATACATTTTAAGTGCATTTCTTTCTCCTTTTTTTCACAGATTTACAAAAATATTTGCCAAGAGTTACATTCAAACATTATTATATTTCCAGTAGCAAGCAAAAAGTTGTGATTTTGTCGGGGGTTACTGGATGTATGATTTTGTTAGCAGTCACTTCCTGGAGGGTTGTTGTGACCGTGAGGTTTCCAAGCAACCAGATAAGACTCTCGGCATCAAAGCAAATAAGAGTTTCCCCCCCAGAAAAGTCAAAATATTGTTTTAAGATTTGCCCACAGAGCTACAGTTCTACTTCAGTTTCAGTATCTATTGCAGTGTAGGAAACTAAGACAAAGACAGTGGCATTTGTAATTGAAACATGGATAGCCATCAATCTGAATGGTCAAAGAAAAGTTTATTTTGGTGTTTACAGCTGTACCTCATAACTGATGTCAATACTACTGGAACCAGTCCTTTGTTATAATATGGATGTATTAATTGTGTTCTGCTTGCAGTTACCTGATGATGTGTCTCTATAGTTTCCTCCTTCTGGGCTTCTGAGGTGTTCTTCTTTGCAGATTGAAGTGTCATCCTTCAGGGCTTCAGTTATATCTATAACCTGCTCAGGTGATGATGCTCTGCTCTCACTCGCCAAATCACCCAGACTGATTTCAAAATACAAGTTCAACTCTCGCAACACCATGTCAAATTGTTTTTTCATCTCAAACTTTTCGTCATTCACATCGGAGGCTAGACTGTCGCTCTTGGAGGGAACAGGGAAGGGCATTGATCGTGAGTCTAGCTCAACCCCGAAGCACTCAAAGGAATTAAAGGATGATTCACAGTTAGGCTGTTGCTCTGGACGACCAATAGCAATGACAGGGGCCGATGATGCTGGGGTACATGCTGGGAATTGATTATAACTGGTATCTTGACTTAAAAATCCCTTAGCCATGTACTCAGTGTGACATTCAAATAAATCCATCTCCTTCTCCTCCTCTTCTGGTACCTTCTCATGCTCATTGCTCTCTGCCTCTGGCATAGAGTGTTGAAGTTGTTGCTGCCCGTCTAGGCTTGTAAGGAGAGGGCTGTTGCTCAGGCCATCCTCATATTCAAGTGAGAGCTGGATCTTTTCGAAAGTGTCAAAGCCCCCCGGCACACGGTCGTTGAGAGTTAAGGCAGATGGCACAAGGGGAAATCTGTCAGTAGCGTTTAGGGCTGTGGGGTTGCTGTCAGCATTTTGTAAATGGTGTAATTCATGAGGACTTGGCACAACTGCATCGCTTGTTGGGGGGGAAGTGAAAGCCGAAAGGTCATCTTTATTTTCAAGCATGAATGTCTCAGCTCTGTGTTGGTAATCAGAGAAACCAAGCTTGTTTTCTTGTTTCTCGTTGATTTTGCTTGTTTTGTCCTCTGTACAATTACTGATGCATTCCTCAGTCATGTTTTCTTTCTGTTGTTGATCATGCTCGGATTTCTCTAATATCTCTAAATATTGCACATCAGTTTTAACACTTGCCTCTTCTCTTTCCTGTTCCTCTGTTTTCCCTTCCATTGTTGTTATCACAACATTGTATGAGTGATCAGAGAAGCATTCAACGTTATTTCCCAATTTCTCATCAAGGTGTGTGAATGTGTTGCCATGTTTACTTATATTACCCTCTGTCCAGTTGATGTATACCATGCAGTCACCAGTTGGTTCTTCAGTTGCGTGTTCAATGTGATTTTCTACTTTGTGCAGAAGATTTCCCTCCATGACTGGTGAGTTTTCAGTTCTTATTTCTTCTTTGAAACTTTTAATTCCTTCTCTTTCCTTCATCTCAGTTTCCCCATCCATTCTGGCGATTTCATCATTTGTTACAAAATATTCAACCTCCTGTGTCTTCGGACTGACAGGAAAACAGCTTGACTGATCCGGCTCTTTCATCTGATGTTCCTCAGTGTCATGGTTTTCTTGTGTTCCACCCCCTGCAGGAGGAGGATGGGCTGGCCTACAGGGACTTCTGCTGGGGCTGGATTGCCAGTGACAGCTGCCTTCGTTGCCAGTCGTTCTGTGCGTTTCGTCTGTGGTGAGTAAACAAGCCTGTGGATCTGAGTGTGACTGCCATGAGATTTCTTTTTCATCTCTGCACTGTGTTCTGTTTTGGTGATTGAACTGGTCAGGAGCCGAAACCTCCTGTGACAGTCCGACGTCACAACAGGGCGTAAGCGGTGTTTCCATCTCGCAGACTTTTCCCAATGCAAATAATTCCACATCTGCAGTGCTCTCTGAGTTTCGACGTTTCTTTTCAGCCTCCTTGTCAGTTTCAATCCAGATTGCAGGGTCAATTACACTGAAAGGGCTTGCCTCATTATCTCCTCCAGCAGGCCCTTGACTGATTCTTGCAGGCAATGGAGTGTCTGTTGTGTGATCGGCCGTTTCACTCCCGGCTTTGGCTATCATCTTGCCAGCAGCATGCTCTCCTTTAACCGCACAGAAGTCTTTGGCTTCGTGACTCACACTCTCAATTGCAATATTTGTGGCTAATACCACATCATAACAAACAATTGATCCCTCAGCACATTCAGCAGCAGAAGGGATGGAGCTCTTGCTCATGGCATTCTCATTATCACAGCCTTTTGTTTCCCCCTCACAGACGGCAACATTTTCCTTCTCACAGATATGCAATTGTAATATTTCTTCCTCATTTTTTACACTTTCTGCCAAGATCACGTAGGGATGCTCTTCAGGGTAAGAGCAGAATAATTTAGAGTCTGTATAATCCGGGGAAGATATTGCGCTGCAACCATCTGCCTTTTCTTCAATGAGAAGGATATTCTCACTAAATCCGAGCTCACCCCTCTTCTGATTACTCTCAGATTGGCTCCATGTATCGCAGAAACCTGTGTTATGTGGCGCATCTTCAACCTTGGAATCAGACTGACATCTGACCCTCTCATCACTTGAACTGAAGGTGAATGCTTGGATTTGACTGACACTGTTTTGCACCTGTATCCCATCTTCGTCATTACTTGCTTGAAGACTGCAACCACCAGGGGGCTCGTCTTCAAGTGATTTCCCCAGCCGATTGCAATCAGGATGACTGGACGTTTCTTTTAAAGTGAAAGACTCTGCTAATGCCCCACCTGCATCATCTTCCATGTATACACTGAGTGTGTTAGTCTCAGAAACTGAACCCTGCTCATCCATCAAAAGAGGTTTGGAGCTTATTTCAGCAGGGATCACACAGACTTCAGATGATCCTGTATGCGCGTCGTCAGTGTGTGAAGTAGTCAACCTACTAATAGGGGTGACAGTCAATTGAGTGTCTTTAAAATCCCCACATTCTGCCATGGATTCTAGGCCCGTATTCTCCTGCAAGATAGTTGTTGATGATGGAGAGCTGATGGCTTTCCTAAAAGTCAGAAGCTCTGGGAAGTCAAACCTGCTCTTGCCACTGTGGTCGTTTGTCATCGTGCAATTTGTCCTTGGTCGCTTGGGGGAGGGAGGTGCAGCAAGCTCAATCTGGGTTTGAGGATTTACATCTTCTTCTGTGATTGTATCCATCTTCTCCAATTTACTGAACCTGAAATAGAAACAACTGGAGTGTGAACACTGCATCAAAAAGCCACACTGCTCAGATCAATAATTCTCACTCTATCAAAATAATGGAATCATGTCAATAATGTTTCCAATACATAGCTTACTATTAGTAGATAACATTTCTAGAAAACCAATTCCACGGCTGAATCTAGTGATTCAAATAGGCTGGTTAATGATGGTGTTGTAATCTTCAGCCTGTACTATAGCCCATTATTTGTCTGTATCGCCATAATAGCCTATGTGCAAGTAATCCAACGGCAAACCACAACAACATAATATGCAGTCAGTGGATTTCCTATACCGCAGCAGATTGTTACACAGCATGATTCTGATTCACTGTGCAGAATACAGAGATGGCACTGTGGCACTGTCACTGCTCTGTTGCTTCTCTATTATAACACCCCAATCAGGAACTGCTGGGAATCAGTTTTTGACAATGCTATCTTTGTTACACACATTAGGCCATTTAAAAATCAAACGTACTGACTTGATAGAAACTCGATAGAAAAAAAACAAAGTTGTTTCTTATCACATAGATGATAGATGTTTCAATAAAATGTCCCTGTGAGCCATGATTGTGTTTCTGTCAGCATGCACTATACAAAATTATTTTAAAAATGTAAAGACTCTAGTCTAGTCAGTACTTTACAGTGTGAGATTAATACAATAATTAAGACAATAAAGGATATCATAACAAATTAATAATACACAAAGCTCTCTCTTAAGAAAAAAAAATTGCAGTGTTAATGCAGTGTGGACTGATATGTTTCATCAATGTTACTATGGTCAGCTAATGCTATCCTTGGATAATGGTGTAAGATTTTCCTTTAGTTATCTATTCTAGCCTATATGCTAGATTTAAGCCAGCAAGAACAAGTGTACAAAATGACTGAAAAAACAACAGTATTTTAAGAAATGGATGAATTATATTTTGAACCAAACAATTCCCATAACTTAGGCCACTAATTCGCCATTTAAAATGTGATAACCTAAAACAAATCATATTCAGCTAATGTTAGCATAAGCAACCTTTTAAACTCAATAACGTAATTTGTAATTTCGGATATTAAAGATAACAGTCGCTGATATTTTAAGCTAGTAATATATTTTACTTAACATATATATTTGTAAGCTACTTACCTTCTAAATAAATATATAATAGAGCTCAACATACCTAGCCAAGTGTCCTGTTGTGGCTATCGCTAGTTTCTGGTCCTGACGTTTCGCCGGTGTCCTCTATGTGGCGCCAAACTGCTGCCGCTGAACAAAGAAGGACTCCCTTTACGTTAATGGTTTAGCTAGCTAACATAGCCTTCTTGTATTGTCTCAAGTTAAATACATTAGAAAAAGTTTATATATTGCTGGAATGTGCAGTAAAATCAGTTAACAAATAGTTAAATATAAGTGTCGAATATGAACACTAGTAGGCTATTTGTATTTGTTATTCCTTCTGCCTTTATTTTTAACTAATTGTTTGCGACATCATGCTAATGCCATACAGTCTTTACACATACACTCAACCAAACACAGGGAGCGAAAGAGACAGAGATGCACTCCCCTCTCTCTCTCTCTCTCTCTCTCTCTGTATCGGTCTCCTCCTCTCAGTACATCAGCACCAATGTGTGTTTAGCAACATCATCCTACGGACCCGCACCGCTTACTTTCAATCGAGGCTGACTTTTCTCCCACAAAAGCCCCATAGAATTAAACAAAACGCTCGACAACATTATAAAGCTGCTAGTGGCTCGACAGAAGGGCAGTTTCAGATCTTTTGAATCGCTTCTTTTTTCCCGTCCTTGCAGGTTTCTTGGACCACTCCAGACATCAGACCAGACTTCTCCCGTTGACTCGGCACTCTCTCAAGGTAGGTTGGATATTAAACTAGAACTCTTTCTGTGCTTGAAGAAAATATAAACATAGTATTGCACATTCACATGCATGTTTCAACCTGCAGTGTGTCACCCTTTAGGCTAATTTATGGGTTAATTAGAGGACTAAAAATACGCAAATTACAATAACGACACACAAAAATCAATTCAGCTTTTTATATTTTGCCATATGCACGTTTTGCACGTAAATCTTGTCTGCATTGGATAAACATGGTTATCTCTTGCTCGGGTGACTAACTAGTAACTAATCATATACACATAGCCTACACACCATGATTTAACTTCAACAACTAAAGTGTAAAGACTGGGGTAAATTTGGATTGGTGACGTCTGATTTATGCAATTCATGCAGACTGTGGGAATTCTTTCGACTAAAATTTTGACTTTTGCGTGGGATGTCTGCTTGGCACGACGTGGTGTGATTCTGGTGTAGTTTGGCACTGGTGCTGATGTTGCTAGAGGGTGTGTGTGTGTGTGTGTGTGTGTGTGTGTGTGTGTGTGTGTGTGTGTGTGTGTGTGTGTGTGTGTGTGTGTGTGTGTGTGTGTGTGTGTGTGTGTGTGTGTGTGCACACC